ACCAATTGCAGTGATCTGCAGGATAATGAATCCTGGTGAAAGATAGTTCATTAACTTGAGTAGCAAATGCACGGTTGTCTTGAGCTCACACAAAACAGTTTTCAAAGGAAACCCCATTAAACTGGAACATATATTAGTTGTTCTTATATTGTTTCTAGCAGAACAGTGCCATGAAATTCCGAGTTCAATTAAGCTTAAAAATACAACACTGTCTTTAAAACAATGTTCCTGTATTTCTCATGCTTCCTTCCTCCAACTCTCACAGCCTTTTTTTTTTTAAGGCTCAGAAAAAGCCTCTGCAAGAAGACAGGAAATTTGTAAATTATTGCTAGCTTATAAATGACATAATCTACAGGTGCTTTCAAAAGGTGCTATGTACTTTTCGAATTTTCTCTCTTTCTATTTCAAGGCTTTTGCAAGGAAAATTTCCACTTTGTTCTTTAGCCCTAACGATAGGGCCTGCATCTGGTTCTACACCACGGCCAGATTGTGGCTGTCCCTCTCACTCCACACTACTATCCAGGTTCCACTAAGCAGAAAGATTTAGGCTACCTTCCAACCATCCAGCAAAGATCATGCATGTAACTCCAAAATATAAGTAGTGCCATTACTTTTGACAGCCTATGTGCTTAGACCTGGGCACACACATGTTGTAAAATAAGATCACTAATTTACCACTCACATTTAAAGTTCATAAGCAGCCTCACAACGCAAAGAAAAAAAACAACAAAAAACAAAACTGCAACAGTGAATATACTAAAGGCAGTTACTACATGGGGATTACCGACTGTAGCTCTGTCCAGTTTTGACTGCTAGATAACTTATTCCAGCTTTCATAGAGACAAGAGATTATAAAGGACATTTACACTGGATATTCTTACTGCTGAATGAGCAGGAATAAACAGAGAACTGAGCTAAAGCACTGACCAAAACTCCAGTTCTAATAAATCCTGGCAAAAATGTTCCATGTGACACAAATATGGATGTGCAGCCTGACCAGCAGATGGGCCTCTCTTTGGATTTCAAAATTTGCAGACATCTTCCTCTTTGCACTGAAATATTACTGTACACAATTTGCATACAATAACTGCAGGTGCGAAAGGAGGTACTAACACACAGTGGAAGTCTGAGCGAGTGCTCTGTGACAGTAAACTGAAATTCCACATACAAGCACATTTAATAGCTTTAAAGGAAGGCCCCTAGAATGCTGGAGATTACACTGTACTTGCAACAGTTGTTGTGGTGAGATGCCAGAAAAAAAAGTATCTGTGTCTCAGAAATTATAAACTTTGTGGCACTGTTTGTTGGTTTTTTCCAGTTTTCTTTGCTGGTTGATGAGAAGGAGGCCATGTACAAGTGTGCTCATCAGTAATGGAAATACTCTTTATTCCGTGTTTTTGAGAAAGAATCCACTGTTGCAGGGAGCCTTTTAACAGAACAGAGCTGCATAGAACAATGCAAACCTTTTCATATACAGTTCAACAACAGACAGATTAACTCGTGCTTCAATTCCAAAGAGCACCCTAAACCAGCCCACACATAGAGATCTCCAGCTGCATAAATCTGGAATCCAATACAGAGCTCTGATCCTTCAAGAATACTGAGTAAATTGGGCAAGAATCCTGTCACTCCACAAATTCCTACACAAGTACAAAAATCAGTCAAAACTGAAGGCCAAAATAACTGCCCTCCGCTCGTGTTTGTACAGATCATAGTCTGATTACATAAATTCATCTGTGGGAAACTAACTACTACTATGTCACTCCTTAACCTCTCCCCAGTCCCACACCTTGCCAAATTTGTTATACTATCCTCACCTCAAGTCTCACTTCCAGAAGTCTCTTGTCTGGCCACATACCTGATTTCCAATTTGCTGAGACGATTGTTTCACATCAGATGAACCTTTATTCTGCAAAGTGTTGCAAATCTTTAATTGAGCTTGAGACTTTGAAAATACGTATATGATTTCTTCAGGATACCACAGAGGGAGAAGTGAAGCAGAAAATGGACTGTTAACATCAGGGTATCATCTGCTTAAGACACAACAGAAGGCTGGATTCATACATAAATTTGCTGGTTGCAGAGCAAAATACAGTTCCTGTTCAGTAACACAATGTCTTGTCCATGCAAGTGCATTTGTGGCATTTGTGTACATTTTGTAAAGCTGAAGTACTTAGATTAAAAAAAGGAGTAGAATGTAAGTTACTTCTACCACCTCCTAAAGACAGTAAGTTTTTCACTTTATATGTTCTTTACAGTACATAGTCTTCCCCTATGTCCTATGATATGTGAAAGCAGATGCAAAAGTTGAAACAAAAGAAGTTACTTAGTAATTGTGTTATTCCATTACTCACGCATTAAATGTCTTTTAGCAGTAGTGTAACATCAGCGTTACAAAGATCTGTCTTTCCTCACAAATATTCCACTCCTACAAACCTACAATAGACTTAAAACTGATAATTCAAAATCCTTATACACATGTGTGTAAAAACTAGAACAAAACACGGTGGACATGTGGCATCGTTACCATGACAAGAGTTTTTCTGGCAAACATTCTTTTACTTACCAGACCATACGGGTAGCAAATCTGGAATAGAACGATTTCGTTTCAGAGTACCTTACCTCTCTTTTAAGGTTCTTGTTAAGCACCTTCACTAGGCACACACAGATACCTCTCTTTGCACATTTCTAACAGAAACAAAATAGGCAAAAGTTGTAAATCAAGGTGTTATAAAACAAATAACAATGAACAAAGTGCCACTAACAACTGCAAGCAAGAAAACCAACTTCATTCATTATTTCCAGATTTTTTTCAAACATTGAGACTTTTCAGTATATTTCAGAAATACATATACAATTTTTTATCTTTATGTATTATTTCCAGATTTTTCTGAACATCAAGAGGGTTTTTTTTCCAGCATATTTGTTTATTCCTTTGGTAGAGAAGAAATATTGATGATAGCAAACTGTGCTAAGCTAAGCATCTGCCTTAGCTCGAGTGGTCTGGTGGTGGTAGCTTTTTGTTTAATAGTTAAAAACACTTTCTAATCCCTGCACACTAAAGTGATTTACAGTATTTCTGTGAATAAACAGGACGTTACCCAGCTATTACAACTTACTCCTTACCTTGTATTTTTTGGATGATACTTGATCCATACAGCTGAATTTAACTTTGTCCATGGCTGATTCAGGAGAGAAAAAGTTCTTAGCACGCATTCCGACTGGTCTGTATGCAGAATGATGTAATTCTACCTACTAATAGATGATGAGTATCTGACCCATAAGTGCCATTTCCTTTCAAAAGGTTTAATCTCTCTTCAAAAGGAGATAAAAAACTTAAACCTAGAAAGAATAACGCCCACTTTCATTTTATTTGGTGTGCAGTTTTCAACTTTATAATAAATATTTCTACAACTGATGTAGCACTAAGACAAAGTACTCCTTTTTGTGGACATTTCAAAACAGGTACAGCATGAGAAAAACTCGCAAATGGCTTAAAATTTGAAGCAAGAGCAGAAGCAGCAGTGCTTTGACATTCAGTACAATCAATCTTTCCTCACTGCACACAACCCACTAGTTACCCATTCTGCTTTATGGTGGAAACAAGAGACAGAAAACAATGACAGGATTTAACTTTCCACATTAATATCTTTCCAATCCATCACACACAAGCAGAGAACAAAACCCATTGCTTGTGGTGGTTTTAATTTCTCAAAACTGTTTGATCTATGCAGTTTCTAATGCAGCTGGATGTGAGCTCATCTTCAGTTATGACAACTTGGTGAGACACTGCACACGGGCTGAGCTGTAGTCATATGCCAGACAGGCAGAAAAGTAGATGCTTTTACCTAAATCTCCTTCTAATTGTTTGAATGCATTGGAACACCTGGTAAATACAAGGTAGGCTACTATATGACTGTTCCTGGATGGTAACTCATTAAGATATACTTAAGATAAATGATCACTTGGCTAGGTCCTTCATCTGAAACAGTATTAATCCATTTCAGATCATGCTATCCTTATATTATTATATATACATATATTTTTGCTAATTAGTCAATCACTAGAATTAGATAGCCAAGGAGCCGAATACAGGGGAGAAAAAAAAAAAAGTCTTTGTCTCAAAAAGCAAGCATATGACAATAAGAACAGCTTCAACAAAATCAAGACCATATCTAAATATTTAATGGATTAATGCAAATCAAAACATATCTGCTAAATAGAGAGAGAGGCCAGACAGGAAAAAAAAAAATATCTGTGACAAGGGACCATACAACTGCTGTCTGTATTCTATTCACATGTATCAGAAACATGTTGGAACAGAACAGCATTATGAAAGCAGAGCTGGTTCTCTAATAGCAATTGCAAAAAGCGGGAAGAAAAAGCAAAACAAGTAAAAGGCTAGTTTGAAGAAAACCACTGTCATTACTAGCCCGCAGTACAAAGACTCTGGAAATACACACCTGCTATTTGTTCCCCACTAAAGTAAGTCAACTGCAGTAAAAATTAATGATTCCAGAATGGTAGTAGTAAAATTAAAAGACAATTCTTTAGATGACATAAATCAACACAGTTCCAGATCACATTAAGACCTCAAGAATATTAACAAATTGTTCACTGAACATTTTCTATTTACAAGTACTTCTTGCAGGAAAAAAAAAACACTAAAAAAACCCTGAATTGGTAAAAAAAACTATGGAAGTATTTAGGTACACAGCAGACATCTTGGAAAACAATGACAAATGGCAGGATTAACATTTAGATGCAGTTCTATTAAAAAGACAACTGACCCACTGTTAGAATAATCTCATAAAAGCCCTTTCATTAAATCACTCTTCATACTGAATCCTTTTCAATACAATTTGAACTCATTATGTTAAATAAGCACTATTATATTTGTAATAAAATAAAATTAAGTACTATTTTTATGCCTGCCATCAAAGGTTTAGTGGGTTTTGTTGTTTGGTTTTTTAAGCAAGGAAATCAGTGACACAATTACGTCAGTAATTTGTTCCATACCAGTTATTTACCTTTTTGGTGCTTATATAAAGCACCAAACTGACTATAAAATACTCTTTGGTTTCTTCCAACCACAGGAACTCAACACAGACTTTACCCTCTGAATCTGCATAGTCTGTGGTATAGATAGGGCCCACGCAGTCGTAAAGGCTGGACGACTTGGAAGACCGTTCCAGGTAGACTGGAGCACTGAAACACCAGAAGGGCTTTCCATTTCCTTCTAGGAGAGTAACATTCATCATGTAGCAGTTCTGTGAATACAAAGAGATTACTTCCCTGTGCCATGGGAAGTAGCCCTGCTCAATTTTGCTCAACTTGTGTGAACTGTGCAACATTTGCAAAGATACTTAAAGAGACCACCCCCAGGCACTGTCCACACACAACAATCACCCTTACACGTCAGCTACAAATGAAAGGTATAAACCACTTTTTGAATGACTGCAAGCTTCAGTTCCTGAAAAGATCTTTTTACCCTCCAAATAATCTGTTTCAAAAATCTTTGAAAATATTTCTTTTCAGCACTACAAAATTACAGTATTTTATAATGCTGAAGTCAGGATGTCAGTTCTTGGGTACATGCCTTAAAAGTATGAGTTGTGTGTCAGATGTTACCTATTCTCATGAGTACTGAATCACTAAATGAATGGAATTATCTTAATTATGCTGTATATATGCATTACTTCCAGGAGTATCGTATGCTCCAAAAGCATAAACAAACCAACAATCACATATTCCATGACAAAAAGTTAATTCAGAACACTTTACTTTGCTGTACTATGCAGTTGTGCTTCAGTTGCTTTAACATTTATTTAACCATTACCATACTTGCATCAAATATTACAGATCAGATCAAACAATACAAACATAAGAGGTAATGATACATACAGTTTTCCTAAACTTGTTACTTCAGACTAGGCTGAAAATACAAAATTCAAACCAAAACTGATCACCATCTAATAACTTATACAAGCTATAAATTTACCTGAAACAAGAATTACTGTTTTCTGGTCAAAGGACAATTACGAAAAGTAAAGAAGTGTGGCCTTGAGTGCTGGGAGGGGGGAGGTTCTTCCCATGTATTTCCAACTATCTATACTTTGGTAACTTATTTTTTTATAAAAAAAATAACTTAGAAATGTCAAAAAGGTGGTGTTTTTTCCTTAGAGTATTGGACAAAATTCAAATAAATTCTAAGTAGTGGCATGTGCTGCTGCTGTGGCTGATTTTATTTGGCCTTTGCATGTTTCAAGGGTTTTAAGAGATTCATGTTAAAAGTCAAACTGAATTCTACCTACAGGTACATGTTGACAAGCGCAATCTCCCACTACAGAATCAGGGGTTGAAAACAAAAAAAAATTATTTTTTTTTCCTAGAAACAAATATTCAGTCTAACCTAAGCCGTAAGCATACAGGACAGAGCTAAACTAAAGACTACAGCCATAGCTTTCTCCCTCCTCTGACAGTTAATTTCCCTGATTTTTATGTGCTACTCATGATTATTTTCACGGAAGAAAAAATTCTGCAAAGTATTTTTAAATCATATAGAATCAGAGAGTAGTTTGGTTTGGAAGGGACCTTTAAAGATCATGAAAGCCCAACTCCCTTGCCGTGCAGAGTGATATCTTCCACTAGATCAGGTTGCTCCAAGCCCCATCCAATCTGGCCTGAATTCCAATGAGGAGGCTTCAATAGCTTCTCTGGGCAACTTGTTTCAGTACCTCACCACCTTCACAGTAAAAAAAATTCTTCCCAATGTCCAATTAATCCACTCTCTTTTAATTTAAATCTGCTGTCTCTTGTTCTGTCAGTACAGGCCTTGGTAAAAAGTTTCCCTCAGTCTTTCTCAGAAACCCCCTTTATGGACTGAAAGGCCACAGTAAAGTCTCCTGAGAGCCTTACTTTCTGATAGCTGCCCAACATGGTAGCAAGATTGCCGACCTCCTACCAGATGTTTTTCAAGGAAATAAAGCTTATTCTGTAATAAAGTGTTCAGATCTCCCTAACTTTAAACATGCAAATAATTCTAACAAAATGAATGGGATACACAATAAAAAAAAATAAAAAGTAACTTAAGTCCAAAATTTTTCAGAAGCCTCAAAAAAGCACCTATTCTGCATTACACTTCTCAATGAACCTTCATGGTAACTGAAGAAAGATGGCAAACAACTGCCTTTAAAGTGTTTTCTCATGTAAGATAAATTTTGTATTTCTCATTGCATAGGAAATCTAACTGCAAATAGGAAATTTCATGGGAAACCTAACACTATAAACTATAAAACAAGTACCTGAATGTCTATGAGCAAAATATTGTTTTATCAAATAGCATTTCATTATACACTTGCGCAAGATTAGCAGAAATAAGTTTTATTCATTTTTTTTCTCAGAGCAAATGCCAAAATCGTAATCAATTTGTCAGAATTTTCAGTGCTTCCAAAATATTCATACAACGAAGTATTTTTAAATAATAGATCTACAGAACTAGTCTGAAAGTTTCCTTAAAGTAGTTGCTTCAGGAATTTTTACACAAGAGAACAAGCAAGAATTCCTCTGAAATGCAGTTAATGAAGCTCACCCATGTACACGACTCAATGGGCAGGTGTTGACTGCATGAACGTGGACTGGATTTTCTGTCTGTCCATTGCCAGTTTAATTTTCTCCAATACTTTCTAACTTTCATTGCACATTCATACTACAAAAGAACTGCAGACTATTTCCCCAAGCTTCAAGAACTGCTGTCTGAAAAAAAACCACTCGACCCTGTCCCACAAAAAACACATCTGCGGTACGCTTTTTGTCCAGTATTTTCAAGCAGAGGCGGTCAATCACAGAATCTCTGCTGAGTGGAAAACAGCGGAGTCACTTCACACACACATAATGGGTCTATCATGCAATCTAGACTCTAAGACAGATGGGGAAAAAGGCTCAAACTTTTTTTTCCCCAAAGCTCAAATCATTTTTGCAGTATTTGAATTGAGGTTTTTTCCTAACTACAGACACCTTCCACAAATAAAATAAAAACAAATACTCAAATTAGCATGCTTAGAATGCATAAATATAATTCTGTTTTGAGATAAGCATTTCCAGGAACAAAAAATATTTCTGACTGACCTTCACCTTGCCTTTAAATACTTCTGTTTCCCAGGATAAGCCAAGTGTCCCAGAAAGAGGCAAGTGCTTTTTATTATCCTTTACACTTAGAACTGTGAGCTTCAAATATCCATTTTCAATGTCACCTGAAAATACTAACAATATATAACATAATACCACTACGAATCAAACTAAGCCCAAGTACACTGTAAACGTTCTCTCTGCTTCTCTCCGTGTCTTTAGTTTCCTGCCACTCACCAGGAAGGAATCCTGACAAACACCAGCAGCTAGCTATCAAGCACATTGTAGAGAATTCAAGTCACAGGTCAGGGCTTTGATTCTGTGACCCACAGTAGAAGCAGCAGCTAAAACCAAATCTTGTATATTCCTGTTCGGTCCCCACGTGTTGCCTGATCTAGTCGAGAGGTGGCATCCCTGGCGACAGGGAGGCTGGATTAAAATGATCTCTAAGGTCCTTCCAGCCTAGGCCATTCTATGATTCTATGAATATAAAAATCTAAATGCCACCTACAGGACCTACACAAGGACGCAAGGAGTAAATTCCATGCCACCAGTGCCTCCATCACTTCCCACTCGCCAAAAGTCAAGCTCAACAGACAACATATGAAATGAATTATGAGACACTCTCCTCCTTTTTTCTTTTTTCAAAATCTCTCTGTTCTGTCTCATAACTCAAATAACCCTACACCACAGGGTGTAAGGATAAGTATCAGTCCTCCCTGGAAAGGAATTGCATCATTTAAACTGACAACTAGTACGTCTTATTTGAATTAAGTTTTTAAATTACGGATTTGTTCAGTTTTTAAATAGCTTTCCAAAGGCTCACTTCCATTTTTTGACAGAATTATTAAGATTTCTTGGTGATTTGTCTTCTTTATTACTACTCATAACCATATTTCTTTCCTATGTCTTCTTCTCCCTCAGAAGAGATGGGCTTCCTTTTAATTGTTCTTTTTTCCCTTGCTCTTGGAGGAGTAAAGTTAACCAGGGAGTCCAACAGTCCAGTTATAATTTGGGCACATCATAACAAACAAGATCTCTGACTAGCAAAAAAAAAACAAACAAAAAACAAAAACCTGATGTGACAGATTTTTTAGTTGGACATCCCCAAACAAAAGCAGCAGAGACCACAAGGAAAAAACAAACAAACACACAACAACAAAAAAAAGACAACAAAAGCGAACAGAAATAAGGATATGGCATTTGCAGGAGACAGACAGGAGGTGAGAGAGGGGATTCCCAGCAAAATACTGATTATCAATAGCCAGTAGCAGGTAAGCTAGTAACTGATGGGGCTTACAGAGTTTCAAGATGCAAGTGGCAGAAGTGAACATTAAAAAAAAAAGTGTTTTGCCTGTGGTTTTCCTTCAGTCAAGATCAAGTAACAGGATGAGGCTAAATACAGAAGAATCAACATCAGAAAGGCTGCCTTGGAGTTAAAAAGCCAAAGCCTGTGTGAAGGAGAAGCAAAATCCTTTGCCTGGTGGCTGCTGAAGGCTGACAGCTGGAGGCAAAGCGACAGAGAGCTCACAGTTTACCAGAGACACCAGAAGCTTCTCTGAATTGGTCCTGTGGGGCCAAGCAAGTCCCAAGAGATGCTTGGCCACGAACCAATGCTGGAAAGACATCTCTCATGAGCAGGGAGTCTGAAGAATGCTCATGGTACGGAGGAAGCAGTCCAACACATGACAAAGTATAGAAGTAGTCAGTTCCACTGCCTGGCACAGGAGAGTGAATACAGAGAAACCAACATGACTATGCCTAGGAAACATTTTGTATGGCTGAAGGAAAACGCATCACTCCTGACAGTCATACCCGTTGTTCTTGCAGAGAAGTCCCAGAGAACTACGTGAGGAAAATGTAGGCAGAATTCACTCTCAGGATCCAGCTCAAAAGTGCAAAAAAGGCTATTAAATTGGTTCCGTTCCAAACGTCAGTAAGTAAAATCCAATGACAGGATTTCACTCAAGATAAAAGTATTTGAGATAAAAATAGTCAAGCTTTGCTGAGTGAACAGTGAAAGCCCACATTTAAAGTTGAGCTCTTATACAAGAGACTTTAAACATCAGTCAACAAGCATTTTTTCCAAAGGGCTACTCAGTCATCTGCAGTTCGGACTAGAATGGAAGCAGCCATTCTTCTCACTCACCCAAAACAAATGAATTTTTCCATGGAATGAAAACAGGTTTAAGAAAGCATACTGCTAATAAATTTACGAAACCTAGAACATCACTACTGTTGTACGGCATTAATAACATGAACTGCTCGGTCACCTGGCTAAGGTTCAAGTTACAAATCTCCTACTTCAGTTACTTCTTAACTTTAAGCCAAAATGGAAATAGATGATACAGATTATGAATCTGAAGGCTAATTATTAATGGGCCAGTTAATCCAGTCTTTATATTTTTTATTTTTTTAACAGAAAAGCTCCATTTCAATCCTTATATCCAGAAGACAGAAGTTCAAGAGTACAGTAAGCTATGTTAAACCTACCCAAACGAAGCAAATTGGATGGGGTTTTCTTCAGCAAATCTACTATTTGTTTCCTTGTACTCTTAAAATATCTACAGACCAGAGTTTATACAAGATACATACAGCAGCAAGGCAGCCCTTTAACCAGTAGAGATCACAGGGGAAAACAATATTTCCAAATAAAGGGAATATCAATATAGAGAACATGTATCATGTAACCAAATCTCGGGGGAAAGAAACAAATAGTCCAATAATTCAATGACACTTACTTTAACTAAAAACCAAGAGAGTTTGCTTTGCTAACCAAGTCTTTGTCGCAAGTTGTAATTTTTCACAGGGAAGGCTGTGCTTATTGCTTATTGCTGGTGGCAACAACCAGTCTTACCATGTCGGAATGGTCATTTAAACTTGCAAATCAATCTTCACGGCCAAGCAAAAACATTTCAAAGACATGAGGTGCTATTTTACCAACAAATCTTAAAAGCTATCTAAACACATAAAATCACGCCATCACATTTTGCAAGTAGAACAAATCAACTTACATCAACAAAGAATAACACTGAAAAGCCAAAGCTGAGACAACCAAACGGCCACAAAGCTATGCTTAAAACATTGAAAACCTAGGTAAATACATTTTAAGAAAATCTATTGAAAAGCCAAATGTAGTATTTATGGCTTCTGCAAATCATATGAAAAGCCGTTAAAGCTTCCTGAAAACAAGAAAAGTTTTCTAATAATTTCAGTTCAACTTGCAAGTATTTAGCATATTTACTCTACAGCATCTGTCAACAAGACAATACTACCAATTCGTTTTAAATGGAAGGAAGCATAAAACAAAATGCTGAAAAAAACAGTCACAATAAAGTACCGAAACAGTTAGTTACTGCAGTGCAAGTACTAGTAACAGAAATCTGAAGCAATATAGACTCTATCCACCTCCATCAATAAAGCGTAATAAAGCTTTTTAATTTCATGTTAAGAATTTTGCAGAAAGAACTGAAATTGAAGCAGCAAAATGAAGCACAACCTAAAGACCACTAAAAAAATGGCAGACAAAAATAAAACTAAATGTGAACAAATAAATCAGTTATTCTGCAGAATAACAAATGGGCATTCTCTGGTAATATAGGAGTGTCTACAGCTTCCTAATGCAAACAAATAAATAAACCTCCAATATCATAGCTGACAACTGATCTGTGTCTCAGGTTGTGGAAAGTGCCATTGGTGTGTCACATCCATAATTTAAAATAAATCTGGATTGGATGGAGAATTTTAGGAAACAGTAAGACTTCTCACTATATCAGCTTCCTCCATGCTTCAGAGACCTCTCAAATAATGGGGCAAGGAGTACCATTAGAATGGAGCCTAAAAACAAAGCACAAGCCATCAAATACAACCAGCCTGGACAAACCTACACTGTCAGCCCCATTCAGAAACATCATGTTTACCAGAAAGAGCACAACAAACAACAAATTACCTTGAAGATATATGACAGCAGACAGCCGTTAGCTCCTCACGACATTTTTTTAACACAAATTATGGAGGAAATGAAGCGTTTTCCAAACGGAATTATTGCGCAAGTGCATGGAAGGGACTAGATGACAAGTGAGCTTACTGCCTGCAGTAAGCTGGCTCATGTCCTAAGAGAGCAGAATCTAGTGGCTGTCACACAGCTTAAGGACACAAAACTGCAACAGCTCAAAAAACACCCATGGTTAGATTAACTATCACAGTTAGATGGCACCACAACGGTAGCTCCGGGGCAACGTTTGCTACAATTTGCATAACCATCAGCTTAATCTTTAACAGAAGTACCTTCTAAGTGGCAAAAAAGCTATACCAATAAAGAATGGGTGCCATGCTGCTTTCTCTTGTGCAGCTCTATTACTAGGGGCATAAAATTTTCATTTTAGAGAACAAAATATGACATTCTCCTACAACGACAGGCTGGGAGAGGTGGGCATGTTCAGCCTGGAGAAGGCTCTGGAGAGATCTTATAGGGGCCTTCCAGTACTTAAAGAGGGGGCTCTACAGGAAAGATGGGAAAGGACTCTTATCAGGGCCTGTAGTGCTAGGACAAAGAGCAATTGTTTCAAACTGAAAGACCGTAGATTTAGATTAGATGTACAGAAGCAGTTCTTCACAGGTGATGGGGGAACCTGAAAACATCTATGTTTCAAATTCAGAGAACAACACTCCACGCTGTGCACAAGGCTACGGTCTCAATGACAGCTCTTGGAATTATCAAACACAAATTAAAAACAAAAAGGGCAGGGGGAAATTTGTTTTAACAGTGTAAAAGTAGTTAAGCCTGATAACAGTGCCCTCTACTGTCTTCATTAAAAACAGTATTTTCTGAAATCAACACAAGACTCAGTAGTAGTTACCAGAAAAACAGTAGGGAGCAATCAGTGTCTCATTCTGATAGTTTAATTTTACATTTAACATTTGAATCTCTCTCTGCTGACAAATAGACAGTTGTGTAGCTGTAGGAAGGGTTGTGTTGAAGTTAAGCCAAAAGAGATCACTCACGTATTTTGCAAAATCCTAATAGAATTACTAAATTGGGCTGTGCATGACTAATAAGGATACCATTTCTTTTAATGAGGCATGACTGGCTAAGAACTGAAAAAAATCCCAAAATTACACAAGGAAAGGATGTCAGAATAGGCAACCTTAAGGTGGCCTAAATAAAAGCTACAAAACTTTCAAGTTCACTGCATCTTCCGTAAGTATATTTAAATATTTAATCTGCAAATGCACTGAAGTGCACTTGAGAAGTATTCTACAGAAACAGGTCTCTGAAACGTATTAGGACAAACTCACTCTCCCTTACAGTATATAAGCAGAAGGCACATCTGCCTGCACCAAAAGCTGCGCTACTGCATTATTAACTCAGCATTGAGCCCAACAAAAGTACCCTGACAATCTGCAGAATTTAAATCTCAGGCCTGACACTATGTCAGCGTAACAGCAGGCAGACTTCATAGAGAGCAAGGTTATGACACCACGCAGATATCAAGAAATTACACAATGAATAAAGATCACTCACTCTTAAAAATCCATCCATGTTTTTCCCCTTAGAACAGAGATATTGGATAGAAGAGTGAAAACGTAAGAGCAGAGATCATTTTAAAAACAGACATTACTGTTCTGTTAACTCTACCTTTTCTGCAGAAGAGGCTCCTGAATGTTCCACACAGGTAGGTGCAGCTTTCACCATGCATATCAAAATGCAGATTGTAGTCATGCAGGCCATATTCTGGGTCGATATCATCTAATACAGGTTTATTAGGTGGAGGGGCATATTGACTTTTAAAAAAATAGTAACAGAATTAAGCAAGTGGGAACGACTTAACAGGAGGAGATATAGTCAATAGCCCTACACTGACTCTACCGTCTAAGGAGAGATTCTAACTTTCTCAATACAGCAAGTACTAGTACACTTGTATGACTAAATTATCTCCTTAATAGCACAACAACAGCAACATTTTAGTAAAAAAATACTTCTACAGCTTTCTATATAGTTACCATAACTGTTGCTTCTATTAAATAAGAAGAGTTCACTATTGCTCTTACCAGCAGCTGATTTTTACTGCAAAACTTAAAGCTTTATTCAGAAGGTTATCTTTATTACTCACAGTGGAGAAATCAAAACTTACACAGTAGCAGAACCCAAAGTGCTTCTCTCAAGAAGCTGATGATAATGAAGACCCGCCATAACAAAAGCAATTTCATTTTTCTCCTGAAAAGAAAATTAAAGTAGATATATTCTCATCTGTAAATAATTTTTTCACAATGTCTTCCTGAACACTAAAATTCATAGATAAATGCTGCTGCCAGTTACTGTAATAATGTAAATAATGGCTTGCTTTAACACTTGGGCTCCTACAACTGCTACTGTCTTTCCACTAGAGTACACAACATATGTGAAAGATCACAGAACTTCTATACGATGGGGAAAGGGATGGAAACTAGCAATGCCAGGGCAAAAGTTATCAGCAGCAAAATATAAATTGTGCTTCTCTAGCTTCTTACCACCTTAAACCAGATACTGGAGTCAAAACAGGCCTTACTAAATACCTAAGCATCCAACTTGTTTTCATATATAAGCAACTATGTGCAAGGAGAGCTAACACTTGTGAGGAACACGGAGCTATTCAACAGAAATACTGAATTTCAAAGCAAAGCTCCACATGTCTTTACCAGGGAAAACTGTAAGACATATCTTCTACAGGCCTATATAGCTCAAAAAAACTTCAGAGCTCAGTGTGGGAACTAAACAGAGACAAAGGTATCTATCTACTTCAGGAACACAGAACGCTAGGATTTCGGATCTTTTTCTCTTTTTCTTTTGTAGAAAAGTAAGCAGGAAAAATACACTAGAGTGAGGCACTCGATGCTTATCAGCTTTGTGGACCTTCAGTTATGATTGAACCACACCCAGGTCCTGGAAGAGTTCTCTCGTCAAACATGAGATGGGGTAATGCACTAGCAAGACCATAAGGCACAACAACACAGGGACACCAATCTCCTAAACTTTTGAAGACAGAAAAGAAACGGCTGTTGATTTATCAGGGCTTTTCATAGACTGAGAGAACCTGCAGCAGGCTCATGCAGGTCAGCCAGTTTCAAGTCTTCTAAGAAATGGGCAGCTTTAGGTAAGAGTGAAACGAATATTCCTTCTGTGTTTTGAAACAATTCCTTGGGAGGTTGTGAACATTTGAGGCATCAAGAGCTTCCAGCCGGAAATGACACACAGCTTAGAGCAACTAGAGCAACTGTTTACAGGCTCCGTTTGCCAGTGCCAAATAACGTAAGTCGACATCATTAACATGGCTCGGGCAGAAAGGGCGGGCTGCCACCTCTGAATTCAGTCCGAGAGCAGAACATGAGACAGGTTTCCACAGCCCCTAACCACACACAACGTTGGGCAGACACCTGGGTCCCAGTGCAAAGACACAGATTCCCTTGGAGTTGAAGTCTACTTGAGATGTCCTGCACTGCACTCTAAAGCCATCCATCTCTATGCACAGCCTACAGAGACTCACCCCTTACCTTAGACACTTAATACTGAGAAATTATCTCCAAAAGGGCACAATTTAGAGCCTTCCTACTGCTGGAGTGGGATACAACTACCTGGTGATGTAGATGAAAGGAAACAAAGTTGCCTCATGGCAATTCGTCATTTTGAGTGATGGGGACAGGGCAAGGCATGAGTCAAGGGAAGAAGCTCATCTCTCCTCAAACCATTCTATTTAAAATGTCTTTATGATATCAAACTTTGGCATGTGAAGACCACAAAATAAATATGACTGAACACAGAAATAAGATCAGTGTAGTATCTAATATACTATGATACATTACTGTTCTTTTAATTAGAACTGGATTTTTTTTTTCTGAAAAGTACAGCTACTCCTGTGACAGTTCCTTAGAACACAATAAATCAACTAGCTGTCCCTACCTGTACTTTCTTGTTTAGACAAGATCTTTCAAAATCCAAAGGAAAAAAAAAAACCACAAACCAAAATACTCTCAAAATCCCAAACTACAAGGCAAAAGAATCTCTTTCTTCAAGTCATAATGAAGTATTGATAAGAAATGTAATCTTACCTTCCAAAGTCCTACTAAGAGTCCTGGATTCAGACTGAAGAGTTGGACAAGTTTATTGGCACCAATTGCTACACTACTTTCAGTCAGGTTAGCTAGATGGTATTCCGCAATCAAGGAACGTCGACGAGGTCTTTGAAAAGAACACAAAGAATGTAGCAGTAGACTATGTCTCCTTACTTAAGTAAAAGCTCAGCCTGATTTCATTTCTAACTCTGAAGTCTGATCAACAGCACATGATGGAAACATTTCGAAAGCATTCAGCATGCACAGCCATAAAATTTACTTCTGAACAATTATAGCATACTAAGAGGATCTCAACACTCAACAAGAAAAGTAATAAAATCCACTACAGGATGGCCTAATACACTACTTAAAAAAGAAGAAAAACTTATATGCTTGCCTAATATTTAAAAATAGCCACAGAATTACTTCATAATGTTTTTAACACTGTGTTAGTATTAGATGGAATCACTGAAGTCAGTGATGAAGAAAGCTACTAAGAAGGCAAGCTCTTCCTTCATAGAAACAAAATTTCCAAGGAAAGCATCAACCTGTACATAAAACAAACTAAAAGCTTCCATTAGAGGAAGGTTTCCTTTTTTAGAAAATTATTTCTAGATTTTGCCTGCAATAAAAGTGACTTAGTTCCATAACACACTTTAACTAAAAGTCATACTTCACAGGCATTCTTACTGGCTAATGATGCATAAAAGCAGAGTAAAAAGTACAGCCTGCTTGACCTACTCAAAACACAGAAGTAACCTTCTAAAGCCCTTCGCAGACTTAGGCTCTTACTATATTCAAAGCTACTTCTAGATTTCCCAGTCGTACCACTGTAGTATGATCTATCACTGCACACTGCTA